GCAGGAATAGTGACATGTGAGAGAGAAGCAGCTGCTCACACCAGGCTTGGGCAAGTTGCAAGAGTTTGCTCTTTGCTTTGAGAACAAGTTCGACTCGTTGAGCTCTTTCCAGATGGAGTTTGGGTATTGAGGGCTGGGATATGGCGATTCACTGGCTTTAGGAAGGAGTAGGAAATGCTCCTCTTTTGTGACCTGTTTTTGCACTGCTTAATGTGGGTACTTCAGGACAAAAGCCAGTCTTTTGGGCTTCCTAAGACAGTGCTGATGTGTCCCTCCCTTAGTCCCTTGTTCAGAGTGTGCTGTCAGCCCTGAATCAGGTGGATATTGAAGGCTTGTTCAGGGAGATACCATGATTGTTTGGTTATTAACAGGGAAACAACGCAACCTGCTTAAGGGGAAGTGGAAGAAGCGAGAAAATGTTCTGTCCTGAGAGACCAAAACTCCCTTTCTTGTCATGATCCACTTCACTCGATGGAGGTCTAAGCTGCCTTATGTCTACCTAAAATAGAATGGATGCTGCCTCCGTTTCCCAAATTGTGGTGACGATGAATTAGGATAATGAAAGCAGATGATACATTTAAGTGCGTCATGGAAGTGTGGGCAACTGGGCCCTACAGTAATTTAAAAATAAGTATGTATGGGATGAGATTAGCAAATTTGACAGTGCTCAGCTAAGCAGAAGTATCTGCCAATTGCAAGCAGCTCATTCCCAGTAAGACCTTCCAGTGTAGCTGCAGGCTTCTGTTATGTATGAGGAAAAAACCAGCACGTGGCTACTTTGATTGATTTTTTTAACAGGAATTGCAGCAAGCAAATTTAATGAAGACTGAGAGGAATATATATATCCTTTTTATTTTTTTTTTTCCCCTGCTAGGAGACTGGACACTGCCAGAGGAGGAAAAAACACTTGATTGCAGTACTCTGACAGCTAATCTTTCCAGATGTCACCCAGTTAGACACACAAAAAAAGGTTTAAAATATTTTCAGTGCAAAAAGACTTGGAAAATATAGTGCAGGGGGGCAAACGTCAATGAGCAGGAGCCTGGTGGGGATTCTGCCTGGGGTTTACTCTTCTTCGGTGGCTCTGCTTGGCTCTCCTCTCCTCCAGATGAGTCATGGACACTGTTACTGCAGCAACGCTGCTGCCAAGCAGGGGGAATAAAGCTGTTGCCATGGTGCTGGATGGGCAGGAATTCTGCAGGAGGAAAAACACTTAATAATTAACTCACAGACAAACGCAGCTTCAGATTTTGCCTGCGTGCTCTAGGGAAGGTGTCTTGGGCTCCCAGGCGACCGCCAGCCTGTTCTGGTACAGCCCCTTGCCTTCGTGGAGAGCAGCTGGTCCGAGCGTGGCCGTGGGCCGAGGGAGGCGAAGCTGGGACTGTGGGAAGCTGCGCCTGCTTCTGTCAATTTGTGTTTTGCATGCGACTGCTTGGAGCGGGGAACTTGTGGGATGGGTTAAGAATCTAGGCTGGCTGATGTGTTAGAAGCGAAAATCATGGTGTAATTGCAGGACATTGCTAAACGTTGGGGCTTAAGGCAAGGAGTTGGTTTAAATTTCTTGTCTCATCTCCTTGGCTACTGTTAAAGACAGAAAAGAAGATTTTGTGCAGTTCTTAGGCTATTTCATGTAACAGTAGGCTTGCTTTGTCTTGTTGGAAGTAAAAAGGTTGAGCTTTTATCTTGTTCTTCCTGATAGCGTGGGTGCTGGGGTTAGTTTTTCTTTGTATGGTGTTCATAGGGAAGAGAAACCTCCCTGCCAAATGCCAGAGATGCTTCAAACACTGTTCTCTCTCTTAAAGCCCAGTTCCTCTGAGCATTCGCTGTCTGGTGGTGATGATGGAGAGCAGTAAACGTACGTTTAACACGTCTGTTTGTTGTACCAGTGGGCACTCCGACAGTGCTCCAAGTTAAGGCGATTTGCAAAGAATAAACGGCTTCTAGGGGTTGCTAGATGTGTGGTTCATGCTCAGCAGTGCCTAGGAGCAATCTTCCGGAGTGCTGACTGCAGCTATCTTTGTCTCTCACTACAGAGGGGCCTGATTTCTGTAATTACAGATCCCAGCATGAGCGCCTTGCTGTCTGGTAGTTGTGATGAGTAGCATTTAGGATGTTTTCTTACTACACCACAGCAATCTTTTATGAACTCCTTATCTATGGGATGTGCTAACCCCTGCCCACGAACCGTAACCCCCAGCCATAGTGGAGGTCCCTGATTCATTATACCGGCGCTGAAGTAGGGGTTGTAATGGGCAGGAATGATCTCTGAGTACACTGTTAACTTGTTTTCATATATTCGATGAATAAGCCTTAAGTGGATGGCTGGATTTGAATTTTAGAAATAGGAAAGCAAACA